TCAATCTTAAAGGTTCGAGGGGTTGACTTCAAATATGCTAAATAATTACATAATTTTAAACAAAGAAATTTTACGTGACGAAATTTGAAATTGGTCGAATAGTTCTTGAGAAATCGAATTTTAAAAATACGGCTTCTTTAAAATTTAGTTTCTCGGGAACTCTTCGACCGATGACGCTCAAATTTTGAATTTCGCCATGTAAAAGTATATTCTTTAAAATGATCTAAAAAAATTTCATACCTTACAATTCAAAATATTTTAGAAAATTATTAAACAAAATAATAAATATTTACAGAGTTATACTTTTCAAGGAATAATTTTTATAAAAACGAATTCTATAATTGTGCGCAAAATTTCTTCTATTAGCTTAGAAAGTTTTCCAGATATGGTGAAATGCATAAAAAATAAAAATAAATTTAAGTGGTCTAAACTTTGGAAAGCTCTCTTAAACAAACTATCGGGACCATATTCAGAGAAAGTACGTTTTGTGTCTAATTTTGCTACTTAAAATATCGTCGGCACTAATTAATTAGCATGTCTAAGATCACTCCCTCGAATCATTAAGTTCTGAAACGTGAGGATCCGATCAATAGACCAAAAGTTATTCAGGGTGGTTCATTTTGTTTTGCACACTCTACAACTGTGCAGGTGTGGCTGGGTGGCACAGTTAGTTTGTCGTCGGCCTTCTGAGCCCAAGTCTGCGGGTTCGATCCCCGGCCGAGACACCAGATTTTCGCGATGCAGAAAATCCTCAGCGTCCATGTCATATGATTACGTGGCATGTAAAAGATCCCTGGATTGCCTTATTGGCTCTTGACATTTCCGGCAAAATTTAATTCCTAGTGCACTTTAGCATCCAAATAGAGTCTCGGTGCTGCCATCTAGTGTGGCAGAAACTAGACGTCCACATTAACATGACTAACGGTATCTCATCCATTGTGGTGGTCCTGAAAGAGTGGATATACCACCTCTGGAGAACGCACTAGGTCTGCTTATCGGCAAGACCGATTGTGCAGCTCATTGGAAATAAAAAAACGACTGTGGAGGTTATAACATTCTATTAAGAACCATGAGATCATTGGTTCAAATCTTGCCGGCAGCTAACAAACATCTCTCTGACACATTTCTCTGTTCACATCAATTTTAAGTCCATGCATTTTTCTCCAAAATGAGCATATGCAGTTTTAATTTTGACCTAAATTAATACAAATTAATAAAAACAGTATGAAAAATAAATTTAATAAAAAATCCGCTCCGAAAGTATACGCATTATTTCTTTCTGAACAAATTATTATAAATATGCATAATACAGTAACTATTTTTCTACTTCATTAGATTTGCCATTAATTCTAATGAAACTTGTTTGCATCCCTTACAAAAGGGCATCATCATCTTTTATAAGCACTTGGATCTTCGAAAACCCCAAAGGTGCTACCGGGGGCAAAAATATTTAGTAATAATGAGGGAAAGGTGCTATTGATTTTGCAATCTTCGTTCGCGACATGAAAGAGTGGCGTGTAATGGATTGAGAGTGATGAGGAGAAAACTCTGAAGATTCGAAAACTATCTATGGGGGGAGACCCTCGAAAGTATGGTGATTAAATGCGCGATTTCTATTGTAAGCCTGAATAACACTTTGACGATGAAGAAAATTTTCCCTTAAAGAATTCTTTAAGCTTTTATGATAATTGATTCTTTTTATTTTTTTGGTGATTTTTTTGAAAAACCAACTTTCAATCTATGGTAAATACGGAAGGTGTTATAATTTTTCTTTCTAAAATACTTAAGAGGACGCCATATCACGGGAGAAACATTCCATCGCAAATTGTCTTTCACCTCCATAAGTAATTTAAAATTTAAAGTCTGAAAAAAGTGAGTTTTAGGGAATCCAGAATTAGCCATGAAGTTTTTTTTTTTTTTTGTCGTANTAGGCAGAGGGGGTGCGATTGTTCTTGTTTTTCAGTGGCGCCATCTATGGCCAAGAATTCGACTTCTGCCACACCATTCACACAACCACTAACCCGTTTATAGGGAGGGTCACATTCACACACACAAAGGAGAAAGGACATAGAACACAGATAGAGAGAAAGAAACATCCATGCCTTGCCCGGGATTCGAACCCAGAACCTTTCTGATGCAAGAACAGTTCCCAGCCCCCTACGCAGGCCGGTCGGCTATCCATGAAGTTTCAAATGCTGAAAAGAAATTTCAAAAATATCAAAATGAAAACAAATTATGAGAGGATAACTTATGATTACATATTAGGGAAATTTTCTAATAATGTATTTGCATTTTGCTATTTTAAATTTTTTTTCCAGCAATTAGGTACTTACTTGGGTACGACAATCACTGATACACAGACACCTGACCTATGACCTCTGTGCCAGCTGATCGCTTGTAAACGTATAGTCGAACTAAGTTTTTCCACATAATTTAAAATGTCAATTAACGTGTAGTTAACTAAATACGACACCGTATCGCCAGAATTGGCCAGAAATGTAATCGATTACATTTTTTGATTACAGTAATCAATTACTTGTAATCATGATTACAATTTTCAAAAATTTTGATTACAGCTGTAATCATGATTACAATATTGATTACAGTAATCAATTATTTGTAATCTTGATTACAGCTGTAATCAAAGTTTTGATTACAACTGTAATCATGATTCCAAGTAATTGCGATTACAAGTAATCACAACAAAAACGATTACGGTTAATTATGATTACAAGAAATCAAAATATATGATTACATGTAATTATGCTTTTTTTGTGGGTGTCTGGTAATTTTGATGCATTATTAGTTTGTTTATGTTCAATACAGCTTCGTGCCTATCTTTGTGTTAAGTAACAAATATATAATAAAGGAACTGAAATTTTTTGAAGTAGTATAGAATGTGTCACTACTAAGAATTGATACTTAATGGGTTTGACTTACTCGAAATTGAATGAAAAGAAAAATTGCTAACGTAAGCAAATGTCACATTTCAACAACCAATCGGGATCGAAATGCCCTCCCTACGTCACTTGCAGGTTTCCCGTTGGAACTTCATGGTTTACTATAAGTTTGCCTGAACTCTGTTTTTCTATATTTCAAATTTTAAGCTAGTTATCGAAGTAAAACAGAATTTGAGATGAAAATTTTCTCCCGAATATAACGTCCTTTAAAATTTATTTATGAAAATGTACTAACTAAATTCTATATTAAAAAAATGAACATGTGTGTAATGAATAAAGAATATTAAAATGAATTAAAATTTTGTAAAATTTGAAAAGTTTTATTAATAATTTTATAATTAGATTTAAGCAATGAAATACTCTATTAAATATGTTGTGTAATATTTTTCCGAATATGATGTTGACTAACCCAAAAAATAGTGTGAAGGAACACTTTATTCTAGGTTAATACCAAATCGAGTGTTTATATACGTTTTAAAGTGTGTAATTTAAATCTAAACACTTATATTAGAGTTATCTAACACCAAATTTTCAATCATTCACTCAAAATGGGAAATATTTTCCTTTCCGAAGTAAACCGATATATAAGCGCATTTTTTTTTATCGCCAGAAGTTAATACTTGTACTATACTTAATACTTGTTAGCGATTAGATGTGATTTGATTGAATGATTTGTTGTTCGGCATTATAATAAGTATGTGTGTTTTTTATTGTGTATTAGGAACAATACTTTATTTCGAACTGTAAAGTGATATTAGCTTGTATAATTGTTATCAATTTCCGTTCTGCTAAACCTCTTTCGAGTTCGTCTTTATGTTATCAAACTAATTTTATTTTGATAGTAGGTGTACATATTATTCTAAATAATTGATTCTTACTTTATATTTTATTTTAATAATACATTTTCTAACTCTTCTGTGTATCTTGTTTTACTGTAATTATGAATTTTAGTGCTGCTGAATGCAAAAAAAGGTGGCGACTACTTTACAACAAGCAGTGTAATAGATGTTGTAGAGCACTTAATAAAACAGTAAGTGGAACACCACTTTGGTGTAAAGTAGTAGCCACCATTTTTGGTGTTCAGCCACACGAAAATTTTTCATAGTGTACAGCCTAATACTCAGTTTAGTGATGTTGGTTTTTAAAAAGATTTTCACTAATTCTTTAACACTGTATTTCAATCAAGTAAACTTTTAGAGATTTGCCATACGTATTTTCACAGTTCCGCAGAAAATAGCTTGGTATCATGTTTGGATTTTTTTAACTGATTTCGATTACTGTATTTATAATATCAAGAAGCAGACACTTTTTTCTTATGTAGAACAACAAATTTTACATATTTTGTAATTTAAGCAGGGTGGCATTCCAAAATTAAAGGAAGATCACGTAGAAAAATATTGTGGTAAAATTACCGTACTGTATAATGAGATTTCTGATAAAAAAAAGAAACATAATTTTGGTTGGAAAAAAAACTAAAATATACGGTATTCAAACCATTTGGTAAACTTTTAGTTCAAATGGTAACGGTTTACCGAAAATTCTGATTTTCAAAATTATAGTTCTAACTACCACATATTTAGAAAAAATAGAAAACTGAAAAGTAAATTTACCCGAAAAAATGGTTTTTATATCATGCTTTAAGGTATGATGTAAAAATTACCGATCTTCTTGGTATTTCCACATAGACGAAAACATGGTAAATTTTACTTTATTTAGATAGTTTTGGCCTTAATTTTTTCTCAGTGTAGAAAAACTATTTGCATAATACAATTCAGAACAGTATATTTAAATTCAGTTTCAAATTTCAGAGAGCAAACTCATAAGAAGAAAATATAAGCGTGTCTTATTATATACGAGTAAAAATGCTCTACAAAACCAATGATAAAATTTTCAAAGGTGTTAATATTGTGAATTAGTTTATTTATGTGTTTGTTTTGCTTGCAATTAGAAATAGAACTTTTAAGGATTCATGTTATAAGAAGTCAGCGTAAAAATTTCTTTCAACAAATTCTTGATTTTAAAAGAAATACTGTTTTACAGGTCGCATGCATTCTCCTTCCATAATACCGAATTTTCCTCCTCCATTTCCACATTTTCCAGCTTTAGGAGGCCGGTAAGTACTTTCTTATGAATTATTTGTTTCTTCTCTTTCATTTTTATTTCATGCTTATTACAAATTTTTTTAAATATTATAACAGTTTAAAATTAATTTATAAAATAAGTTTTTAAATCGCAGAATAATTAATGAGTAATAGTTTTCGCAATTTATTATTTCTTTTGAGGAATTTAAAAAGGAATTGCTTAAAGCTTACCAAAACTCCTAACAAGCTTAAAAATTTTCTCGATGATGTTGAGCAACAACATGCAGTCTCACGAAATTAATTAATACTGGCAAAAGTATAAAGCTACTAATAAGCCAATGCTTATCATTCTGGGGAAATTTTAATATATACTTTCTATAAAAAAAAATTACAGAAATCTGTTATTTTCCAAAATTTTCTGGACATTTTTAGCCCTTGAGTATTACCACAGAATTCCCATGGTCTAGAAAGTTTTTTTTTAAATGATAGCAAAGGTGAGACAAATCTAGCATTCAATAAATAATCCATTATTTATTTGAATGTGCGAGTTTAAAGGTCAGTTTAAGTTAGTTCAGTTTAACTCTGAGTCACTTAGAGTTAGAAAAAATTAATACAAAATTTAAAATAAAGGCGAATTTAACATTTTACAGATTTAGAGAGCGTACTTAAAATTCGAACTCGATGATATTATGAAACTGGCTACATTTTTTGCTAAACATTGTTCTTTCGGTTTAGTTTTTGGCAAAATTTATGTATTAAAAAATATTTACAAAAATAATATGAATATGAAATAACGCATGCACTAAATTTAAACCAGAATTTTGCACTTTGTAAATTTCTTTTGACTATTAATTGGATTTAAACTGAAATGCACAATTTAAAATTAATTTATATATTATTTTATAATTTTGAAATGATAGGGAAAAAATATTATGTGGAAAAATTTCAATTCGTAAAGGCCGCAGTTACAGAACTAACGCGTCACATTTGGCCTTCATGCCTTCTATACTGTAAAAATTGTCATGTAATATTTCTTCGAATTTGATGTTGAATAACCCTAAAAAATATGCAATGGAAGAAATGTCTTTTTCAATTTTACACCATACCAGACAATTTAAAGGGGAATAAAAGGTCTAGGCACCTAAATACAAAGAATTTACACCAAAATCACGCACCTTTACTCCGTTCGTTAAATATTTTCGGTTCCTAAAAAACTCCGATATTGCACGCTTTGGATATCGTCTGTAATAGTTTAGAATCGATGACGAGTTGGCGAGTGTCTGTGGTTTTTTGAAATGTTGCTTTTCATCTACGGAAACTAAAGCTCGTCGATAAAATATGTATATACGTTTTTAGTTGTGTAATTAGAATATTCATGTTTTAATTTTTAAATATCTGTTCAGTGTATTAAATAATTTTATATCGAAAACAATCTATTCGCTTCTCTTTTAAGCCCTATTCCAATTCGTTTTAATATTCTTTCCGTTATACACGTATGTTAGATTTAAAAAACAATTCTATTTGAAGAATTTGTGCAAGCATGCTACCTAAATTGCATGCATGCTACCTTGCTTTATATTGTCTCTTAAAATAACTTTACTAATTCTTATGCGTATCATACCTTACTGTAATTATAAATATTGAATAAAAAACATGGTGAAGGACTGTAAAAAGTTCCAGATCAAACTAAGGTTAAAAGAACCGGCACTCAGGATGCTGATACTTTTTATCGTTACACGTTACGTTAGCATGTTATGGGACAAAAAAATATCTGATAAACTGTAATTTTTATAGTAATAAATACCATAAATAACTGAAACACTCATAAATATTACTATAAAAATTTTACTGTAAAAATGGATTTTACGGTAAAACGGATTTTACAGATGATAGCCTAAAGTGCCGGTACTATATACCGTAGTTTGATCCGGAATTTTATTACAGAGCTGATACTTTACACACAAGTAGTGCAAAAGACTATTCTAGGTGTTTAACTATAGCAGGATCTATTTTTGGTTTTTGGTGTCCAGATACATGAAATTTTTTTACAATGCAAAGCAATAAGGTGCTTTTTGTGCTAAATTTTAAAACTATTTTTACCATGCTTTAAGTAAAATGATTCAGCAAAGTTTTTTTTATCGTTAAGCGTTAGGTGACCGAAATGATTATTAACATAAAGTTTAAATTGGTTATTTATGTTTTTCTCTTATTTAACGGACCAAGTTTGAGGAAGATCAGTAATGTAGTGTTTAAAATTTATTTCAAATTCAAAATGGCATTCTTTGATGCAATGCACTGTACGATATCTTAAGCGGAGAATAATACTCAAGGCGTTCACTAAGCGAAGAACTAACCGCTTCTCTTTATGAACCCATAAATAATAAACACTTGAAACTCAAACAATTGTTTGCACAGAGTCCTCGTCGAATTACTCATTTACCATTACTCGTCGAATTACCATTTACTCAATTTTCCATATCCAAATAAATCACTTACTAAAACATTCGTGACAAAAGCATTGATAAAAACCGCAAAATATCTACACCATTCCTTTCTTCCGGAAAGAAGAAAAAATTCTGGCTATATCCATGGCTCAACAAGCACTATTGGCTGTGAAATATATTCCAAACAACTATGACAAATGCGTCGTTGCAACACGATGCGGAACTAATGGGCGAAGAGACGAAAAAAAAGTACATCTCTAAACATAAAAAAGAGCAAAAACTCTTATCCATCATATCTTCCACACAATAGAGATGCTACTGTGACAACTAAGAAATGTGACGAAACGTAATCTGTCTCTTTATCCACCGCGTCTTCATCTTTCTTCTTTCTTAGAACTAACTGCATCATTTTTCATCCATATGAGAAAAACCATCGTCATTTAAAAGTTGTTCTTTTTTATCCGCTATTGCTACAATGTGGAATTTTCTTTTAAAAAAATAGAAGTTGAAATATCAAGCATTTAAAGATATATACCATTTTGATAACAAATATTTGAAAAAAGGTTTCTCATTTGTTATTTTCATATATATTGTATTCGTGAACTTATGTTAATTCATCTGATCATTTTGAGTTGTTATTTCATAGATAAAATAATTAAAATACCGAAACCAAGAAGGATTAGATTTCATTGTACGAAGAGTCTTCAAATAAAGTCTTGCTTGTTGATTTATGAATATTGGATGATATTGATTGTAGTAGACATTTGTGTTCCAGTAACGCAAATTATTTTGTTACGAATATAAAAATTACTTTTATAATCTTAAAATGTATGTAAAATAAAATTCTGAGTTTCCATCTAATCCATCAATTTTCTATAAATATATTTATTTTGCCGGAAATTTCCTCGCGATTATTAATTAAAATACTGAAGGCAGAGAAATAAAATTGTTCTTTCAAAAATAATCATTTTCAAACAATTTCTCCCTTAGCTAAAAGAAGAAAAAAAAATTAATAAAACAAGTGTCTCGTTCACCGTCAACTTCTACAATTACTAACCCTCCTTTTCCTTAAAATTTCTCTCTCGACAACGACCAAAATTGTCAAAAATTTTTGTCACCTTCTCTTCCCAACACTATCGATCAAACAAAGAGAGAGACTACATGACATCTTTCACCCCAGCATAATCCTCTAGCATCGCTTCGAGAAAAAGCTAACAAGCAATCATCTCAACTTCTTCCCTACTTTTCCAACCATCCGCATCTTCCAGGAGGAAGAAGAAAAAAAAAAAAGAAGAGCAAGAAAACAGAAGGATGCCCAAGATGAGATTCAATATGACATCATTGATAAATTACCCGTAACGCTGTTGTCATCGCATTCCCTTCATCTTGTCCAGAGATTAAGGCCAGGGACAGTTTGTAGATTTCGACCAACATGTGTTTTTGTTGGTGGCTGTTGAAGGCACCTGCAGCTTTAGAAAGCAGAAGATGGAAATGGATTTTCTGCTTTTTTTTACTCTTGGGGAGAAAGGGTGGTTCTTTGTTTAGCCACCTTGTTATGCTCCGATTGGTGGGTGGGGAATTCTCACCAATGTTCTTTGTTTGGAATTTTTAACATCTCATTCATACTCTTCTGGATGCTATTCTTTTACTTTATTCTTTGTAGAGTGTTCTTTTGGGAATGATGCATATTACATTAAGCTTGTTTTTTTTCAGCCATATAAATCTGCTTGTATATAATAAATTATGAATGATAAAGGATGAATTAAGATTAAGACATCTTTAGTCTCCAAGGCACTCTTGTGTTGATTTCACGACCATAATTTTTACCTCCGTTGTTTTGCAAAACGATTTTAAGGTTGGAAATAATATTCTGTTTACCATGTCGTCCACCATTAAAGCTTTCATAAAATGCTGCAGTAATTTATCAAAGTAACATTTATTTTTCATTAAGTAGTATACATGTTACCATGTAAGACGGAAATCTGCAGAAAGTCGAGTTTCATCGGGGAATTCCGAAATCACTTTGGAAAATGCCTGAAATATTTGCTATGTCTGATTTGATATTAATGTATTCATTGATATTTTAATACTTATTCTGTATTTTAATATTCGATTAGGATAGATAAAGAAAAACATCATCGTTGAGAATACCGCTCAGTGTAACTTAACCTTATAAAATCATCAGTGTAGATAATACCGGAACGTGCTACTTATATAAGTATTCTTATTCGTAAACATGATTTTATTTTTAAATAGGCTTGCCTGGTTTACTACTTTTTTGTTTGTTTTTTTTTAAAAAACTACCTACCGATATAAAAAAAACTGCATGGAATAGATTTATAAAGGTATCAATTGCTGACAAATTGCATGATACAATATCGTTACGGAAAAATAAATTTAATTCAAACATAAGATTTTAGAAATAAAGTTTAATATAACTTGTTTTCCTAGTCTTTATAATGTTCTGTTATAATATTTTAATAAGGCTCTTTTTACGATCTACACATTGAAAGCTTTCATAAAACGCTACTGTTATTTCTTAAAGTAATAAAAAAAAATTATTAACTAGTGCATGGGTCGCCAAACTT